ATTTCTGCCAATATGCCGAATCACTCAAGGAGACAATCCAAGGGGCTTGGTAGAGAGGAGAGCTCGCTGCAGGATCATTGTCAATCACTTCTGACGGACCTTGACTCAGTTGTCTCCGAGTTCACTACACTTATCAACAATAGTAAGCGCCGTCGCATGCCAGTGCCCTTGTCCGCAGGTGGCGTGTCAAGGAAGAGTATAGACACTGTTTCGACAGCAGACGAGTTCTTTGATGCTGAAGATGCCAACTCAGCCGTTCTTAAAATTGATGGCAGCGAAGACGAAGCTTCACGATCAGAAGAGGCAGAAGACGAGGAGGAAGATTCCTTCCGAGACAATTCTTCTGTGTCGTCTATAGGAGAGAATGACACAGCAAACTTGGACGATGCGTCTCATCTTTTCCCCACGAAACCAAAGAGCCTTACACCGTTGCCGATTGAGCAAGCCGTTACCAGGAGATCAACCATACCACCTGCAGCTGCAGCCGCACCGAGTTTGATCGCATTCTTCAGGAAAAACGTCGGCAAAGATTTTAGTACCATCAGTATGCCCGTTACCTCGAACGAACCGTCATCTATGTGCCAAAAGGTGGCCGAGCAGTTGGAATACGCACAGTTACTAAACCAAGCTGCAAAGCAATCTTCTCCAACCGATAGACTCTTGTTCGTCGCAGCGTTTGCAGTCTCCCAGTTTAGTAGTGGTCGAGCCAAAGAGCGTGCTATCCGGAAGCCCTTCACACCTCTACTGGGCGAAACCTTTGAACTGGTTCGAAGCGAAAAGGAGGTGCCCGGAGGCTTCAGACTTCTAGTCGAGAAGGTCCAGCATCGACCTCTTCTCCTCGCCATGCAAGCAGACTCAGCCAACTGGTCGTTCTCCCAATCACCAGCCCCCGGTCAGAAGTTTTGGGGCAAGAGCGCTGAAATCACGACAGACGGCCGTGTTCGAATTGTGCTACGTCTATCAAATGGCTCCGAAGAGCGATATTCATGGAATATTGCTACTATGTTCTTGCGCAACGTGGTTATGGGTGAAAAGTACGTGGAGCCTGTAGGGACAATGCATGTCGTCAATGATAGTACATGTCACAAGGCTGCTGTTGAGTTCAAGAGCAAGGGCATGTGGGGTGGACGTATTGAGGATGTCAGTGTGGAGATTTTCAACCCCGAAGGAGTAAATACAGGCAGCGGCTTGGTTGGTACATGGACCAACAGCTTGAAGACAACAGGCAAAGGTGGCGGCCAGGAGATTTGGCGTGTTGGACCACTGGTGGAAAATGCTGCCCAGACATTCGGTCTCACAACTTTTGCTGCCAGCTTGAACGAGATTACAGAGATCGAGAAGGGCAAACTGCCTCCTACGGATTGTCGCCTGCGACCTGATCAGCGTGCATACGAACAAGGCGCTATCGATGATGCTGAGGACCTGAAACAAAAGCTGGAGGAAGCTCAGCGCGGTCGACGCCGAGAGCTCGAAGAGCGGGGTGAGACATACAAACCTCGATGGTTCGTCAAGGTCGAGAACGCTCCAGAGGGTGAGGAAGTGTGGAAGCTCAAGACAGGAAAGGATAGTTACTGGGAGGAGCGCGCAAAGGGAAGCTGGCAAGGGGTTGAGGACCTCTTTAGGCTTACGTGATGATTGATGAAAGCTAGATAGACACAAACATTGGATTCCGTTTTTGATACCCCTTAGTCGAATGAATTGTTTGTAGAGTTCTTATGGAGTGTAATCAAGACTGTTGGTTAAGAAGACAGGTCGGTGATGGGAGTTTAACATAAGATAGAGTGTGTGCAATAGTTAGAAGGATGCTTAGGCCATCACTGTTTTAGAGTCAGCTTATAAGGTAATGCTGGCCAAGCTTAAGACGGACGTCTTGATTGAGGAGTTAGTTTTAGGTATGTAAGATAAGTTGAAATTCAAATGATGATCATGCAATCTTCCTCTTGCAGACCCGGGTAGGCAAACCATAGGGGGTAATAAAACCTCTGACATGAGGATAAGGTGTTAAAATCAACTGGTTAAAAGAACCTACTAATATACCTACTGTACACTAAACTTGGCTAATATTTTCATCGCTTGGGGTTGAGGTCTCACGTTTTCTTGGCTCCCCTACGCAAAGTGTCACTTGGAACCTCCTATTGCAGCTAAACAAAGCCAAGCATTTTCTTGGCTCTGAGATATAGTGGTGACCCGTCTTTTGGTGCATGTACTGGCAGGGGATGTGACGCACCCCAGGTGAGGTTACCAGATGAAAAGAGGGCCTTTGGTATTGTGAAGAACCACAGTGTTTCACACGAGGGTCGTTCTTGGCTGAGCGCCCAGATCTTAAGTTTAATTATGCAGCAGGCGAGATGTGATATTGGCGTTGCGGTGAGAATGCTGAGGCGAGTGGTTGTGAGGGATGAGGGATCAGAGACGAGCTTGGAACGAGGCAGTGCAGGGTGATCGACGTGACGATTGAAATTTGGCCTTGGCCTCGGTTGATTTGACGGGTCTAGGAGATAAAACCAAGCAAAATCCATGTCAAGTGCTACTCATCGTCATAGGGTTCCAGTCTTAGCAGTCGGAGCTCAGATTGGCTGATGCCAGGATGAAGAAATGTTAAGACTCAAGATATGCGGTATCTGCCTGTACTTTGATATAATACACGGAAACGGTCTCAACAATAATGGGTGCTTGACAACTAACAAGATTTTGGTAAGCTAAGTACTAAGCCATACGAGAAGTCGAATTTCTATTCTTGTTCTTCAATGGGATAATACGGTATGGCCCATAGACGTGAGGGCCTGGGCTCCACTGAAGTTTAGCGGCACGGGAGTGGCAGAATGACCCCTGCCGATCATTGAATCTGCAGGTGAGAATGGATGGAAGAAATTCTTATTTGTGCTATTAGTGACAGATACCCAGGTAGGAAGTTTCTTTTAAGCTTACCTGGATACCTTGGTTATGAGGCGAAAGTCTTGACTTGATAACAAAACCTGACGGAAGCATAAAACGAAAAAGAACTCTACGAGTCACTCAAGGTATCTAAGGTATCTACCTACTACTCAGACATTCAATGCCAACCCCAGGCCAGCCTTTACCAAGCATCATGATGAACAAGGCAATATGTAGAGGGACTGTGCCACCAACTGGAGCCGTTTAAAAAGGAGCCTCAGGGGGGGTTACGAGACGAGTTTCAGCGGCGCGCCAATCGCTGATCAGGAGGCGCTTGCTCCAGCCGAAAGGGAGTGTCATGCATGAGCAAGGGGAGGCGTGTACCGATAGCTTAAAATGCATTACGACGACTTTGGTGGGTCAATTGAATTTCAGCATTGAGCGAAATCCAGGCCAAGAAACGAAAAAAGAGAGGATAGCAAGTGATGCCAATGTACTACAGGCCTTGAACCTGTCATAGAACCGGAAAGGTTGAGTTTCTGGACTCTTGGTTTGTGGCTGAGCACTCTTGAGAATTTCTTGTCATCCATATAGTAGTTAGGCGTTGAGGTGTTTGTTGACACAAGTGAGGTATACGAGTGATGCAGCACCATGGGCAACACTAGCCAAAATACGGATAACAAGAACAGAGTTTTAAAACTAGAGGCTGAGAGGGCAAGATGGTTAAATGTTTGTTTGTGTCGATCCTCTTTATAGTGACGAGTACGTAAACATACCGTACATACTTACCTACTCGTCACCTACTCATGACCTACTGATAGCCACCTCGTTTGTACGGATGTTGCAACAGTTTGTTCTTCACCAAGCGACAAGGGACAACACATCAGTAGACTTCACACCACTGGCCAAGTCTAATTCTTCAGCGATAGGCTGGTTTAGTACAGATACAGCCCATTTATTCGTGTACCTGATTTCCATCTTCCAAGTGTAAGCAAAACAAGACACAATGTGTGATGATGTAAATGCCGGTAGATGACAATTCAAACACAGTCGTTTCATCCGACAAGATAGTTTCACAGCACTGAGTTACTGGTACACACAAGAGCATTGTACTGCTGGATTTGATCGTCAACCCATCATCATGCTCTCTTGGGCCCTTCGAGATTAGGTAGGTAGTAGTAAGTAGGTGTGCCAGCATGAATTTGTGGAAACTGAAATTACTGGACCAGACGTGCCCCACGTTTAATCCCCAATCCATGGCTTCCCCTTGGATTCGACGGAAGCCCATCCAAGCCTTCCAAGGAAGAGATGCCCACAGTGGCCGGCGTTAGACGCTTGGACTGGCCACCTCAGTTTCCATTCTTTCTTGACCTGGCGCCTGGGAGCGGAAGAGTCTGCATCGTTCGTCCAATGGCTCAATTAGTACCGTAAAACGAGGCACTCACTAACTCACACACTCATTAGTCGGTAGGTTTAGTACTTATCCAGACACCCCGTCTCTCCCTAGATTGGTAGTGGAGGTTAGTACCAAGATAATGCCGAGTGCTCCAAGCTTAGGTAGTGGGTACTGAACTTACAGTACTACAGTAGAGTACCAGCCCATTTCAGGGATCAATCACTTGCCATCCAATCCAATATCCCTTGATACCACCACTATCCACGTTCTATCCTATCCCGCTGTGTCATTCTGTGATGGTCGATTCTAGTTGGTCCTGCCTTGTCACTTTGTACCTACTGTATGTACTTGTGCCACACCCCAGCCCATCATGGCCATCCCGTCTTCCCACCTCCAGTGCCTACTATTTTAAACCCCCATTCCAACCTCCGTATCACGCTCGCTTTCCCTCTCTTCTTCTTCCTCCCTCCATTGATTTTTTAATTCCTTCAACTGCCCTTCCAACCGGTTAACGCCTTTCTGTCGTTTTCTCTCCGGTCGTGATCTTCTCTCTTCTTTCGTTCCCACCTCCCAACTCCCTCGTTGTTGGTTTTCTTCTACTTGGACTGTAATTCTACTTCCTCACCCGATCCACTCATTTCGATCATTTTCCACCCTCGATATCGTCTCTTAACGACAATTCTTGAACCGTATTAATCTGCCGCCATACCGTTCAAACAACCAACTTAAAATGAAGACCGTTGCTTTCCTCTCCGCTTTGGCGGCTGTCGCTTCCGCTACCCCTACCCTCAAGGAGCCTCCCAGCAAGCGTGCTTCCCTCCCCGCCGTCTCGGTTTCTGGCAATGGTTAGTAGTCAATTGCCTCAAGAGTAGGATGTGTAGTCAATGTTGACAATCAATTAGCTTTCTGGGCTGACAAGGACCGATTCTACCTCCGAGGTATCGACTACCAGCCCGGTGGTGCCTCTGCTAACGAGGATCCTCTCGCCGATCCCGATGTTTGCAAGCGTGATATCAAGTACTTCAAGGAGCTTGGCGTCAACGTTATTCGCGTCTACGCTGTCGACAACAAGGCTGATCACGACGAGTGCATGAGTGCGCTCGACGCCGCTGGCATCTACCTCGTTCTCGATGTCAACAACCCCAAGTACTCCATCAACCGTGCCAAGCCCGGTCCTTCTTATAATGCCGCCTACATCCAGAGCGTTTTCGCCACCGTCGAAATGTTCGCCAAGTACGACAACACACTCGCTTTCTTCTCCGGAAATGAGGTTATGAACGACGAGAAGGATACCGACAAGTCCGCTCCCTACGTCAAGGCCATCACTCGTGATATGCGAAACTACCTCAAGGCCCGCAAGCTCCGCCAGGTTCCTGTCGGCTATTCTGCTGCCGATGTTGCCTCCAACCGCATGCAAACCGCTCACTACATGAACTGTGGTTCTGAGGAGGTTCGATCTGACTTCTTCGCTTTCAACGACTACTCCTGGTGCAACAGCGACTTCAAGACCTCTGGCTGGGACGTCAAGGTCAAGAACTTCACCAACTACGGTATCCCCATTTTGTAAGTCGATTCATCACTCATGTTGGCCTCTCCTAACCTTGCACTAGCCTGTCCGAGTACGGTTGCATTGAGAACCGCCCTCGTAAGTTCGAGGAGCTTGAGCCCATGATGGACAGCCAGATGTCCTCAGTCTATTCCGGTGGCCTTATGTATGAGTACTCTCTCGAGGACAACGACTACGGTATCGTCACAATCAAGAACGGCAAGGTCACAACCGAAAAGGAGTTCGATCTCTTCAAGTCTGCTCTCTCCAAGTACCCCATGCCCACTGGCACTGGCGGTGCTGCCAAGACCTCTCATGGCGTTGCTTGCCCTACATCCGAGTCCGTCTGGCAGGTCGACCCCAGCTACCTCCCTGAGATGCCCTCCGAGGCCGAGAAGTACATGAAGGACGGTGCCGGCAAGGGCCCCGGCATCAACGGCAAGGGATCCCACTTCGACACTGACAGCGGTACCGCCACTGCCAGCGTTGCCATGGGCTCTTCAACTTCCACGGGCTCTGCCTCTGCCTCTGGTGATGATGATGATGACAGCGGCGCTGCTAGCCTTGGCTTCGGTGCCCTGTACGTCTCCGCTGCCGCCACTCTCTTCACCCTCGCCGGAACCCTTTTGCTGTAGATGGCAGGCGTGCCGTCTCTTTATTTGTTTTCCTTGTTAGTGTGGGGATTGCCTTGTGGTCAGAGTTATGATTTAGGGCCCCCCTCTTGGTTTTCATGATAGGCACAAGATGTTGGGGAAGAGCGCTTGATTACTTAGTTGGGCGCGCTGCGCTGGGCACGCCGGGTCCGTATTTTTTCAACAGGAGCATTGGCGTCTAGCCCAGGCAGGGCAGACGACCCGGAAATGATTATAATGCTATCTGGGCGGTTATCGCCTTTGTCGTTTCAGTTAAAAGGATTTAGTGCCGAAGCACGTTCAATAGACTTTCATTAAACTCGATACGAATATCCACTGCTTCAACGGTGTACACGTTACAAACGTTAACTATTCATTTGTAGGTACTACCTGAGGGAGCTAAGGTATGCAACGATCAATTGTGTCGCACGTGAGTTGAAAGTTATTAGCCGTAGAGCCTGGGCTAGATTTGGTGGGAACCTCGGCATCTCCATCAGCAGCCCACCTCTGACATGGGTTGTGTCGCAGCCAAGATCAAGCTTAGTACCTTACCCCATGGGACAGTTTAGCCCGAGATTCTTTCATCCCTTATAAGTAGTACTCTTCTTACAATACCATTCATACTCTTCTCTTTTCAACGTAATCGCAACTGAGTTAAAAGTTCACACAATGTCTTCCACCGCACCTCTTCCCGCTTACACATCTTACAAAAACATAATTGTCAGCTCACCAAACCCTTTCGTCGCTCATGTCGAGATAAACCGACCCCAGAAGCTCAACGCCTTTACTCAAGAACTATGGCTCGAGTTTGGGCGTGTCTTCAAGCAGCTCAGCGGTGATGAAGACGTTCGTGCTGTTGTAGTCAGCGGCGCTGGCGACCGAGCCTTTACCGCAGGCTTGGACGTGCAGTCTGCGTCCAATGATGGAATACTCTCTGGTTCTCAAGCGGATATCGCCAAAAAGGCTAAAATAGTGAGAAACCACATTGAGGAATTTCAGGACTCGATTGGCGCTATGGAGAAGTGCGAGAAACGTAAGTGTGACTGGTCCAACGATTTGCTATGATGGATCACTGATATGTGGGATTTAATTTACAGCTGTCATTTGCGTGCTTCATGGTGTCTCTATTGGCCTTGCTATTGATATCGCCTGCTGCGCTGACATCCGCATCTGCGCCTCCAACACACGCTTCGCCGTCAAGGAAGTTGATATTGGCATGGCCGCTGATATCGGAACCCTGGCACGTCTGCCCAAGCTCGTTGGCTCAACATCATGGGTTAAGGACGTTTGTCTCACGGCCCGAGACTTCTCAGCACAGGAAGCATTATCAGTAGGATTTGTGAGCCAGGTTCACGAGGGCAAACAGGCGGCTGTGCAGGCTGCTGTGGCTCTGGCAACCGCACTTGCTGACAAGAGCCCTGTTGCTGTACAGGGAACGAAGGAGCTGCTCAACCACGGCAGGGATCATACTGTTGCTGAGAGCTTGAGGTATACGCAAGTATGGAATGCAGCGGCTGTGCAAGGCAAGGACTTTTCGTCGGCGTTGATGAGTGGATTGAAGAAGACGAAGCCGAGGTTTGAGAAGTTGTAGTTTAGCTGTCAGGTGTTCGAAAGGACCATAGACGCATGTCGTTCGGGAATGAAATTGTGTACATATTTCGGTGATTTCATATGCTCAAAGCTTACTCGGAACCGGACTCCTCTTCAGGAGGAAGGTTCTCTTTGAGTCGCTGGGAATGTGTTAGTCAAACAAAGCCATTTTCAGTCGCAAGTAGCTTGGGTAAAGATGGTGCTAGCAGTTGAACGTACTTCTTCGAGCTTATGCTTGAGCGTTGAAACCATGGTCTCTTTCACAACCACGCGTTCATCGTCGAGATCCTCAATGATGTAGTCATGGTTAGCACTGTCGATGCTGACGATGATGGACTTGATCGAAGGATCGCACTCGATAAGAACGCCTAGCATGAGTAAGCTGGGATACTCAGTGCCCAGAAAAGAGTGTGAGACGAACCTCTGATTGCACGAGGCATCTTGGGCCAGTTCGCGGAAGCGCAACAATAGGTCCAGAAGATGCTCCAAGATTATAATGAGGTTTAAGTTCAGGTTATGGTTGACGCTCCCCCATAAAAAGGGTGGAGTTTAATGGCACGGGAGCCTTGCATGACGCACGGACCATATGCCATTTATCTAACGTTAGGTAGGTAAAGCCTGCATGGAATCATCAGATGCCATTCCAAAAAATGTTTATTCATCCTTCGGCTGCGCAACGGCAAAGCCCGTAACTATACTGTGCCCGGTTTCGCAGAGCTGTTCGTTTGGGAAGCCGAACTTAATCATGTGGCAAATTGGACCCGGGCACCAAATGTTACCTCATCGCCATCGTACTAAGCTGAGCGTATTTGTGTACATGACTGTTGCAGCGTATTACTTAGTCGTTGTATAAGTGGCATTGCTTGTTCTCAATACGCCACTAGTCCAAGGCAGAGTTGAGAAGCTGTAGTCTAAGGGCTCGATTTTTCATACCAAATTCTCTCGTTTATCTGTCGGTATTTTTCAATTTGTTGTATCCGACTGGGCTGTGCCCATCATAGATATCATGGTCAGAATAGGTGACAGGCGGCCGATTTGTCCCGGCTCCACCGGCGGACGGCGACATTCAACGGTCCTCACATACTGGTACACATACATCCAGATCTAAGCTACTGTACTAAGCCACTATGATGAAGTCACCTCGACAGTGGGGGATGATCGGCTACGCGGCTCTGTAATGGAGGCATACGAATGCAAAATGTTAAGGTAGAAGCCGAGGGTGCACAAAGTACAAAGAGCTGCCCTTCCCCCCAGGTTTGGAGTCGGGAGTCGGGAGTTGGAGTTACTTACTAGATGACGCCCCTCTATCAAAGTCTCTGACCTCACACCTTGACAGTCTATCATTTTGATGATTCTTGATTCTTGACGTCTCACAAACCAAATAACAAGAATAACAAGTCCTTTATATACATATGCATTTGAGATTCGATCACATACAGATCTTGTCTTCGACATCTGATAATTCAGTCCAGCCAACATATATCAATATCATTTGATCGAGTACCTCACTTATACACTATAACAATACATCTGCTATTGTGATGGCCACAAACGACAATACCGACGACAATACCGGCTTCTCATTTGGTGCACAGCCCTTTGCCTGGGTTCTCATTCCTCTCTTCGTCATCTTGGTTCTCGGTCTAACCACCACCGTCATCCAAGTGAGACGACGTCGACGCCGTCGTGGGAACCAATGGCCCGGCCAGACTCCCGGAGCTCCTGTATATACCGGCCTCCGCGGTGGAAGAAGAACGGGAAATCGCCGATCGCCATGGAATGGCACCAGGTCTGAAGAAGGGCTCAATGAACTGGGACAGGCACCGCCGCCATACGATGGTAAAAAGGAGACGCAGGATCCCCTGGAACTGCGGGACCTCGAAGCCGGGAACAGGCCGCCTGAGTATCCTGCTGAGCCTGCGCCGGCTGTAGTGACGGATGGTCGAAGAAGTTGATTGTTGGACTTTGGCTATTGGATGATGATTCCCCCCCATATGTTCGTTCTTGGACCGTTCTATACCTACCTTTTTGCCTGGAGTTAGAGAGGGATAGGCCGGAAGGGTGTGTATTTGAGGAAATAAATGAATCAAAATGAGATTACGTATCGATTGATATTGCCATAGTAATGAACAGTTCTGTGTTTTTGTCTCATGAGATAAAGTCGAGTTGGGTTTACTGATATCCGTTCCGATCAAGCTTGTCCGATTAGCGAGACCACTCTGTACATCAAATAGTCGTGCAGAGAAAAGATGTCCGGGAGACTCAAGTGAAAGTGTGGAAAAGCTAAGCTGAACGATGAACTGACACTCCCTCCCTCTCTCTAGGTAGACAAGTTTTATCGTCTTGGTCTCTATAATAATTCAGATCTTGAGCTTGCCTGAATACTCATATATGAATTGCTAATCAAATGAATTCAAAGAAACCGAGTGGAAGGACTAAGAATACATGGTTGCAGACTACATGAGGAAGTCATCCTCTTACAAGCCACCGGAAGCAGAGTGCCATACGGGTCGTCTGCGTGTGATACGACTGGCCTCAGAAGACCCGGTTGGCTGCATGCATCGAGGACGGTGTCACAGGTGATGCTGTGACCAACTTCCACGAGAGCTAATAGCACCAACAGGACGAAGAGGTCTTTCCCTGTGGTCTTGCAATGCTGGAAGCAGGATGTCGTGGTGACAAACTAACCTCAACACATGGGATCGTAGCAATAGCTACAGTAGTTAGTCGGGGACTACAATAATGGACTGTAAGTGCTCTGGGCCAATACTAATTGTACCGAGCCATGAAAGGGGTACTTCTTTTGCTCTCTGGGCTTTAGTTGACAGTTTGCTTTGGCTCGCTGCAAAACCAAGGAGTAAGTAGTGCCTCATGAAAGCCTTTGAAGACTCTGTGAACTTTGGCGGTAAGCCTGGAACAGTCTCGTTGTCGAGAACATTTGTTACAGGTCAAACGATATAGAAAATTGAAAGTTGGCCTGGATCCAAACTTCAGGGGTGTCCCATGCCTTTTTGATGTGTCTCGCATGAGTGAAAGGGTCTTTGCTCGGGGGATCCACAGAGGGTTTGCGAGATCTTATGATTCATTTCATGCTTGTAGTTAAAGCCTAGTTCGCCTCATCTTGACAAATGGATGTTTGCGGTGAAATAGGACAGGCAGATCAGGATAAGCCTATACCATAATGGAAGGTAGAGAGGTGGTTGGAGAGGATATAAGGGGCGTCAATTAAGCAAATGGAGCCGTGGTTTCTTAGTGTGATGATGGAGGAGGCTGGAGATGCGAATGGGCTGAACATGAGCGGGAGCGGCAGAAGTCAATGTTCCGAATCGGGTTATGCCTTGAAAAGATGGAAAGCTACTCTGTAGACACGAGTAAAGTTGAGCCGTGGCAAGTATGATTTTCAGGAACATGTT